CTCTGGCTGGTGGTGGTGAGCGCGGCCCGTGGTGAGCGTGGTGCGGAGGGGCGGCGGAGGAGCTCGCCGTCGGCGCGGGACGGGCGCACGAGGGGCAACGCGTGGGCTGGAGCGACTGACAGCTCCCGGCCAGCTGGCGTCCGCAGCGCGTAACCTCACGTCCCTCTCCGCGGTGAAACGGGGAGGAAGGTTTTGGCCCTGGCTCTGGGGAGATCACGGGAAGATTCAGGTGGCTCAGCCCGGCGGGCGCTGCGGGAAGCTGCTCGCACCTCTGGCCGGAGGAGCAGCGGTGGCAGCCCTCGGGCCAGATCTGGGGGCAAAACTCCTCCTTCCTTGCCCTCCGGCTCGCAGCGTTTTGTTGGCTTAGAGCCCAGTCCTCTGCGGAGAGCCCTGCACCGGCTCCCCCGGCATCCTTTAGCCCTGCTGTATTAGCAGCGAATGGCAAAATCCGACTCTCTCTTCCGAAATACCAAGTTCACACTGGCTTGAAGCATCCTGTAGGTGCGCGGATCTGCGTTATGTGCACCCGCCGTCTCTCACGCGCAGGCTCACGATGGCTTTTTGATCATCCTGATGTGCTCAGAGCTAAATATTGGAAATCAATCCTGTTGTATTTAAGCAGAATGAACAGCGCTGGGGACTCGGTCAAGACGTGCTTTGTTGCAACCCTGTGCTGAATTTCCATCTTCTGCGATTCCTGCAGGTGTAGGCTATGTCACTGGATATTTGTTCAGTGTGATGGGAAACAAATTACTTTATCCTCATCCCCTTTAGATTACATAACAGTTCTGCAGCTGTGCTGCATGGTCTGTTGGAAGGAGCGTGTGCAACGCAGGCAGAAGCACGAGCAAGGTCATATCTGTTGGGATTGGATTATGAGGACTCTCCGGACACACGTGTTGCTCAGCTGACTCTGGGAACGTTCTCCAAAAAATCTTAAAATGAAAGTAAGGGTGGGAGCTGGCCTTGGAGCAAGCGCCCAACGAGAACTGCCTCCTTGCTACAGAACTCAGCACAATCCCAAAATCCAGTTTATTTTCCTGTATTTTGGGGTGCTGAGATCACAGTGAGTCCCCTTGTTTGTGCCTGTACCTCTGCCTGGCCACTTCTGAACTCCTTTAGTGTTTAAAATCACAAGATTTCCTACTGCTTCCAACTCCAGGCTGCATTTAAACATATATTAGCGGTTGCATGACTCAATTGTATTAATTGTTACATTAAATTATATGGTATTGCTCAAAAAGAATGTTAATTTGATTTCCCTA